TCGTCTTTGATCTCAATTACATATAAAATTTCTTTTTATTTGTCACATAATTTTTGGTGTGCATTAGTCCCGATTTGTATTTGTAAAATTGATTGCAAAATAGCTTTTGCATTAATTTCAATTTGTATTTGTAAAATTGATAAATTGTTAAGCGTACAAATTCCTTTTTATGGTAAGAACTTAAAAAAAAAATGATAGTAATTTTTGAAATATTGTGTAGTCTAGACATGGTCACGGGTCACCCGACCCGGTCAAAACCGTTGATCACGGGTCCGGGCTCAACACGGATTTCAAACGGGCCAGTCAAGGGTCATATTTTTTCGACCTTGACCCGGCGGGCCAGGTCGGGTCCGTGTCGGCACAAAAAAATACATTGCTTTTAAATTTTTTATTTTTATTTTTTATGTGGCCGGGTCCAGACCCGGGTCGAGCCCGGCCCGGCTCGCCGGGTCATGGACCCGGCACGACCCTAGGTCCGTGCCGGTTCAATGTCGTCGAAACCCAACCCGGTGGCCGGGCGGGCCGGGCCGGGTTGGGTCGTGACCCGGCCCAGTTTTGACCATGTCTAGTGTAGTCAAATCTTCATATGGAAGTAACATCATAATTATGGTATCTTATAAATCTTCTCTAAAACAATTTTAGCGTGAGAAAATGTCTTTATTTAGGCTTATAATATTTTAGTTACTTATACAAAATGTTCAGCCATATTTTTTTACATATTCTATCTATATGTACATATATATATACTCACATATACGTAACACATGTTAAGTTTAATTATTTTAGACATGTTTTCTTTACAAAATAGTTTAAAAAATCTTACATGCACATCTATACTTATATAAAAAGACATTCTATTTACTAGAATTAGTAGTAAGAAAAGTCAAAGGTAATTATATATTTTATTTCCATCAAGTATTTTATTTAATTATTTTAGTTAATTGTTTTATCTCATAACACATTTTTAATACAACTTACCATGATTTTTCTATTGTGATTAAAAACTAAATTTTACGTTTAAAATCTTTTGAAATTATTATTATTATTTTTATAAAGCACATATTATTTGTTAAAAATTGTATATATATATATAATACACATCACAATACTATGGTAGATGATTTAAATTTCAACTGACTAAAATGCCAATGATTTAAATTTGAACACACCTATGCGTTTGACCAAATGTCTGGATGATTTAAAATTGAGCCCATAAAAAATTACTTAAATTTGAACACACAATAAATTTTATGTACTTTTTATTTATAAATATATTGAAAGTGATATTTAATGGTTGTTATATAAACTATTTTAATATATTTGCAATGAATAAAAGTTTGAATGAATAATTTGTAATGTTAATCATAATGTTTGTGACTTATGAAACTTGAACACATAACTCCATACATATTTGTCAGAGGGCGGCTTAATAATTTTTTAGACTTAACGTTGATTAAAAGAGGTAGAAAATAGATAATAACATTATTACTTTTCAGACTTAAACGGACAAGGCTGTGAAAATAACTCATTTAACATATTTGTCTCGTGCATCGCACGGGATACGTACTAGTTAATATAATAAAAGTGCAGATAATAATTGTGACCGATTAGATTGAGGGAGGGTTGAAAACTAAAAAGAGGGAGAACCTAAAGGAGGGTTGAAAACTAAAAAGAGGGAGACACTTTAGGTTCCCCTCCCCCTATGTGATAGATATTAAATCATCTCATCATATGCTCATATGAGATGTTTTTTCTTCTTATGTTTTTTGTTTTAATATCTTTCTTTATAGCTTGAGAACTTAGCAACTAGAGAAGACAAATACTTTTATAAAATCAAGAACTTTAATAAATGTCCCTCCCATGTTACCTTTTCTTCTACTCTTCTCTTTTATCTTTTTTTTTTCACCATTTTAAATACATAAAAACAGAACAATTTTGCTTTGCTAAAGCACACTTCCAAATTTGAACTTAATATTATATCCTTTCTGATAAATTGTTTGAGAGGA